TTTCATTTGCCCGAAACGTTCCATATCTTTGAGCCTGGGGCCCATATATTGACATGCCGGGGTATTCTCGGTTGCTCAGGGGCTCTTCACGTTTGTCACGGTTAAAAAAGCGGCATACTCAAGATATGCTCATGGGCCGGCTACGTTGGTCAGGAGTCCTTCCTTTTTTCTGTCACTTGCTTAGGGCCCTGCGCTCTTGTCTGGGCCCCATCTGTTAATTTACTTGGGCTCACTCGGTGGTCCGGGGCGCTCCAAATTGAGCCTTGGATACTTCCTATTTGAATGGAGGGCCCTATACAGTCATCAGGGCACCGTTCTGTTAACCTGCTCGGGTGCACTGGATTATTCTGGGTTCTGCCCATTGCGTTTTGGTATTTGAATGTAGGCTACGCCTGTAGGGGCCATCTGATAGCTTGCTTGGGTACACTTCTTCTTTCGGGGGCACTCCACGCTGGGTTTTGGGTATTTCTTATTTGAACTGAGAAATGGAATGAAACTTAAATTTGAAAGTGTACAGGGCCCTCCATTCAAATAGGAAGTATTCAAGGCTCAATTTGGAGGGCCACGGACCACCGAGTGAGCCCAAGTAATTAACAGATGGGGCCCAGACAAGAGCGCAGGGCCCTAAGCAAGTGACAGAAAAAAGGAAGGACTCTTGACCAACGTAGTCGGCTCATGAGCACATCGTGAGTGTGCCGCTATTTCGACCGTGATAAACATGAAGGGCTATGCTGTTGTCCGGGCCCATCTGATAACCCGCTCGGACAACTCGGTCGTTCGGACGCCATCTTCATTGGGTCTTGAGCATTTTCTATTTGAATGGAGGGCCCTACGCACTTGTCGGGGGCGCCATCTGTTCACCTCCTCGGGCACACTGGATTGTTCGAAAGTCCTGCACGTTGGGTCTTGGTATTTGAATGTAGGGCCTCGTGCCTTGTTGGGGCTACCCGACAGCCTGCACGGATGTAATTGATTTTTTGGGAGCCCCTACGCTCTTGTGGGGGTCCCTTCTGATAACCTGCTCTGGCACACTTGGTTGTTCGGGGGTCATCTGCATTGGGTCTTGAGTGCTTCTGTCTTGAATGAAGTGTCCCACGCTCTTGTCGGAGGCCGTATCTATTAACCTGCTTGGGTGCACTTGATCGTTTGGGCCCCCCACATTGTGTCGTGGGTATTTATTATTGGAAAGGAACGTCCTACGCGCTTGTCGGGGGGCCTCCATCTGTTAATCTGTTCGAGCACACTCGATCCCTTCTGGGCCCTCGATATTATGTCCTGGGCACCTCTTATTTAAATGGATGATTCTATGTGCTTGTCGGGGGCCCTACTTATCAAACTGCTCAGGCCAATGGCGGATCCAGAGGGGAAGAGGGGGGGGGGGGGGCACGGGATCGTGCTCCCTTGTGCCTCAACGGGACCCATAGGCTCTGAAGTGGCCCGTGACCAGGCGAACGGATGCAGTTTTCAGACACAAAACACAACAAAATTAGGCGTCATTGGGCCTCCAGACGACCAAGAAAGTCACAGGCGAAAGCGAAGCCCGTTAGCAGACAAACTTGTTACGCTGTCCAGAGGCGTTATGTTGTTGCCGGGCCCTCCATGTCCACTTGCCGGGTCAATCCGATTTTTAAGGAGCCTTCCACTTTGCCCCTGATCTCTTTGCATTTTCTCGTAGGGTCTTACGCTGCTGTTGGGGCACTATTTGTAACAAGCTTGGGAACTCTTGATCGATCAGGTGCCCTCCACGTATTCTTCCCATTTGTCCGAAAGGCTCTATACGCTTTTGTCGTAGCCTCACATGCCGGCGTGCATTCAGTTGCTCAGGAGCCGTTGATAGTGGTCTTGGGTCCTTTCCATTTGCTCAGAGGGTCTTGTGCTGTTGCTGGAGCCAATGCAAGGCAAGGCGCTGAGCCACTCGATGCTCTGGGCTCTCTCCATTGATCCAGGGCCCTTTTTCTTTGATTTCGTTTACGGAGGACCCTTCACTCTCGTCGTGGCTCCTTCCGTTAATCCGCCCGGGCACTCTTGATCGCACAGGACATTCATTCACACACACTGGCCTTGGGTGCGCACGCGCACACTGGCCCCTTTGCTCAAAGGGTCGTATGCTCTGGCTGGCGTCCTATATGTCAGCCTGCCAGGGCACTCCTGATTGTTAGGCACTCCTGGTACAGGGCACTCCTGATTGGTCTAACGCGCTGGTCTTGGTTTTTTTTCGCTTGCTTTGAATACCCCATACTAGTTGATGGAAACCTCTTGTTTTACCTGCCGTGGCACTCATGATCGCCTAGGTTTTGTCGCTGTTCGCCTTGATGCCTTAGCTTTAGAGCAGCGGTCGGCTATGCTCCGATAAATTCTTACGCGCAATGGCCGAACATAATTTTACGTACCGCCGACGTCGCATGTGATATTTCGGTTAGTTATTGAATCTGTGACACCTATTGTACTTAAGCATCACATTCTTATCCATTTCATATGCTACATTTTAATGCTAGGATATTTCTTACTCCTTCATAACAAAGCAAAAACTCTAAATTAGTAATCAGTCAGCGGATGGCACTGATCAGCCGGCTAGCTGTAACTGTGCTCAGAATTAAGTTCGTGCCTCATTTGTATGGTGCTTAGCACCAACTTTAGCATATTTGGCCATTTTTTCCACAAACTTAGCCTCAAAATGACAGGATTCACCATGGTCTGGAGAAAATAAATAAGCTCCATGCATGTGCATACGTAACACGCCTAGCTTTTTAGACATGCTCACAGTAAGATGGGTGTCTGTGTTGAGAGATATTAAAAATATTAAAATTTGATGGCCAGACTTCAAGGATTTTTTTTGGGGGGGAAGGGGCGCACAATGTTGTGTACCCCGTTGACAAAATCTTGGATTCGCCCCTGGCTGACAAGTAATTTTTGAAGCGTTCAGTCTCATGAAAACGGGCGGTCGAATAAGCTAAAAATCAATCAAACCGGCTGGTACTTTTTTGGCTACAGCCTGTCAAATTCTGAGCACCCTTTCGCCGCAACCGTCGACCGGTGGCACCGATGAAGAAACGCTCGCGGCATGGCATGGGCGCCATTGAAGAGAAACCCGTATTGACGGAACAAGGTCTGCAAGGTTGTATTCGAAGGGCTTTCTCAGTGAAAGACCCCATCATTGGGTTAGCAGAATGAGTTCCATCACGCCACCAAATTACATACCAGTATTAGAAGCTCTCGTCACCAGTTGCAAAACAATACAAGTAGAACAAAAGGAAGCAGCACAGTCGGTTTTGCAAGCATTCTGAACGCATATGATTGAGCATCTCCACGCAGTCGCGTGAGAAATTTACTCTTTAGTGTCTTAAGGGCCCTTTCCATATTGCGTATACAGTACATCAACTCGGTCAAATTCGTTAGTCAAGTTCAATGCCTGCTTACCACGGGAAAATAGGCACCATTTTCAATGTCACGATTGTCGATTTATCCTATCTGCCTTACATTTAATCCGTGATTGACTGTAGTTCAATTCGGTCTCATCTGATGACAAATATCTCAACAATTACATCTCATCACGGGTAGAATCGTTGTTCGCACTATCGCCCTCGTCATGGTGTGCTTGTAAGTACATGCCGTTTCCGTCAGTTAACTCTCCGGCCACTGTTAGGTGTTGATGAGTCCTGTCAAGGACTGGATGATGTTTGGCTTTCACCCATGCACGCGTCTCAAACCAAGCCCTCCAATTAGAATTGCTGGGATTTGAACCAAGACCCTCTGACTGCGATTCCGATGCTCTACCAACAGAGATAACAACGGGCGGGTGCCTGAAAGACAAACATCAGCTTCTCCCAGGACTCAACGACACCTGGCGCCGGCCGGCGCATTGACTGGCCGGAACGTGTTGTGCGATTTTGCATGGGTGACCTAACTAGTCTGTTATTTATTCTACCTACGCCCACTATGCAGTGTCATCACGTCTAAACAATTTGAGAACGTTATTCCATCCGATGCGTTGAAAAGCGAGCAGAACCGTGGGTCTGAAACTTCAGGGGCACGGTAAGCTTCTTCATTTTGGCAATGCCAGGTTTTCATAGCACCTAACGGTCTTGGCAATTGACGTCACGCTCAACATCGCACAACGTGTTGCACGATGCCAACCAGTGCAGACGGCGTCGTGGCCAGTGCGTGTAGAACAAGGGTCGATGCTCTGAACCTGACCCTGACTTCATCTCCCAGATGTGTTCTCCAAGTGTGCAGTAAAGCAACCATCAGCGCCTTCAGCTCACGCGATAGCGCTAACGCAAGGTCTGCTTCTGGATGTGCGCTGAGCGTACAGGATGTACATCTCAGTAGACTGAGTCCATGGCGTCCTGCCGGTCCTGTCGGCCATTCGCGCACTGTTACAGTTTGGCTTGCAGAGGGCATATTCACACTCTTCACAGATACCCTGTGACACTTTAAGTAAAATTAACATGAAAACTGGTTCTTTCAGGGAATGTTTCCAATAAGAATCGCGAATGGATGGCTTTAAATTCAGTGCCTTGGCTAAGCATGGCTTGCAGTAAAGAACCCAGCCCCATCGATCCAGTAGATAAATTTCAGTTGAGTGGATAATATATGTGGGAAGATTGCAATACGTCAGGCATTACCCTGACGTGGTGGCCAATGATTCAGTCTGGCCCCTTTTGGGCAGCTGCCAACTGACCGCCAAAGACGAGCCATATATGTGCAATTTCTGGAACGGAACTCAGATGCCTGCCAAACACTAATCAAGAGTTTCCGATGATCTACAGTCTGAGCGGCAGAGAGGGCATGCCAAACTGAATACTGCCAGGAAAATGTAACTCAAGATCAAATTTGACCTTACATAGTTTTCTTACTCAATTTTGTGCTGTTCGGACGCCTTTTTAGCGCAGTTTGACCCCGTAAGTTCTTGTATACTAAACTTACCAAGACGGAAGCATATAAGAACTTTGGAGTCATTGTTTGCGTCGTGGCTGGACGGTCCGAAGACAAAGACGGCATGCGGCACACATTTTTGTACAAAATTATGCAAAAGACATTTCCACTGGCATCCTAACAAAAAGCGTACTGCACAGTTTGTACTATAAACATCGCCGTCAATAGTCTTCCATTTGTAAACATGCGTATAATCATGGGCATGGCGCTGGCAAGAACTATCCTTTGGAATCGACAATTCTCCCACGATACTAGAAAATGCACTGAGTACGACACCAATATCTTAGCTGAAACGGCCTGATAGCACAGCAGCTATGTGTTTATTCATACCGTACACACATAAAAACCAGAACGCGTCGCACACGCGTGATGGCGCCGACGGGGCCGGCAGGCCAGCCGCCAAAACGGGCGGAACGCCCTGGGCGCGTCACTCGGCCGCCCTCACGTGTCCGTTTTCGGCCAACGGCGCGTCGCTGGCGGCGCGGCCCGCGGTCGCGCCGTTTTCCACAACCTCGGCGTCCTGCAGCGAGCGGATTGCAGGTGTGCTGACGACCGGCGCGCACTGGTTCTTACGCCACTGGCTGACGATGGCGACCAGCTCCTGTACCAGCGGCACGATAATGATGAAGGCAGCCGCTAAGAAGCCCCAACCCCTGGAGAGGGTCGTCCAGGCCAGGAAGCCGGCACTGTCCAGCGGGTGCGCGGCGATCATGCTGCCCGGCCAGACAACGACGAACAGCAGCGTGAAGCACGCGCCGGCTACGAATGCCGTCCGCTTGGCCAGTCGGAAGCGCCGGACGATGCCGTCGATGGGGGGCCGTTCGTGGTAGCTGGCGGCCTGCGACATATCGCTCAGGTTGAGACAGTCGCGGTAGACAAACACCCAGGGCGTCAGCGGGTTGTCAATGTCGCGCGTCTTCTCCCACTCGTGCTCCATCTCGGCAGCCGTCATGTTCACGTTGTCGAGCAGCGAGAGCGCGACGCACGCCATGCCTCCCACCGACACAGAGACGATGTTTCCGATCAGCATCGGCAGCTGCTGGCCCGTGTTGACCACGAAGTCGCTGAGGCCGCCCGGGTACGTGGAGGCGTAGACCAGCCAGCTGGTGATACCGCAGATGCAGCCGCCAACAGCGCCGCCAATCATGCCGCGCGCGCTGACGCGCACCCAGAGGATGGAGAGTGCGATCGGGACGACGGTCGACGAGATGAGGATGCCGGTGAAGTAGTAGGTCCACGCAAGGTCCAGGTCCACCGCCCAGCAGAAGATGCACAGCGGGATCGACATGAACGTCGTCCAGACGATGCTCCAGTTCTTGTAGTAGAGCAGCTTTTCCTGGTACTCGCGGTACTGGCCGTGCATGGTGCAGGTGAAGTGGGGCTTCACCAGTCCGTCGACCTTGCTGCGGGCCACGTTATCCTTATGGCAGACGGAGCAGCGCTGCATGGAGGGGCACGTGCAGCGCTTGGGGTCGTCGCTGGTGGGACGCACCTTGTGACCGCACAGGATACATTCCCCCGGGGCTAGATCGCTGCGGAATGGCTTCAGGTAGATCTGAAAGACGTCGTAGATGACGATCGAGGCGACAGCGATGATCTCGGCAGAGCCGGTCGACATGACAGCCATCAGGATCAGGAAGAGAATGGCGTACTCGCCGGTGCGGCCAAGCAGTACCTGCGCCACTATCGGCGCCACCAGGCCCTTCGACACGTCCTTGTCTGAAAGCAGGGCTGCACCCTGCGCCGAGCTCATGGCCAGGTAGGACAGGCCCAGCGTGGTGGCCAGGCAGAAGGGAATGGCGAACCAAGTGAGGCCTCCAAGGATGAAGCCCCAGACACCCTGCAGCGGCTTGGCCGCCACTGAGCTCTGCCAGTACGCCTGGTCGCAGAATACGGTGCCGAAGTTGCCGACGATGTTGACGATGCCGAAGATGAAGCCACCCGAGGAGAGAAACGTCAGGTAGCTGCCGTCCTTGTTGCCGGCCGGGCCGGGCCAGCACTCTACAAAGTCAAAGAGGCGTTCGGAGCTGCCGAAAGGGTTGTTGGGGTTGCCGCTAGGGTCGTAGTACACCTCGATGACCAGCATCAGGATCATGATGAAGATGAGCGCCGTGTTGAAGTAGGAGACGTAGAAGGTGGCGCCCAGGCCGCCGATCAGCGTGTAGCCGCCGATGACTATGGCCAGCAGCATGGCCGACATCTCCGTGCTGAGGTCGGCCACCAGACTGTTGAGTACGGCCGTGCCGGCGATCGTCAGTGACATCATCACCACCAGGTTGGTGAGGAAGGCGAACAGGCAATACACCTGGTGCGTGCGCGGACCGAAGCGCGCGTGGATTACCTGCAGGAACGTCTTGGCGCCGGGCGCGCGCGTCTTCAGCTGGATGGAGAGGATGGCGAAGAGGATGATCTGGATGGTGGCGCCGCCAGCGTACCAGTAGGGGCCGCTGATGCCGTACAGACTGGAGACGGTCGACGACTGCAGCAGCGTCGCCGACCAAGTCCACTGTGACACGATCGTGGTGGCTGTCAGGCCGATCGACACCTTGCCGCCGGCGTCGAACGCTGTGTCCAGATTGTCGGCGTCGTGGTAGATGTGCTTCCTCACCATGTGGAAGCCGTAGGCGATCAAGGAGGCGAACACACCGACTCCGGCGAACACGGCAATGGCCTCCGCCATGCTGACGGTGGGCTGTACGCCGCGCAGCTGGCGGTCCGAGCGGTCCGCACGCGTCTCCAGCACGAACTTGCTGCACTGCTCGCCGTGTGGCGTGACCGTGGGCGGCACAGGGGACGGTGATGGGGTGCCATGGCTACCGCCGGCCGCCGCCGGCGAGGACGCCTCCTGCGCACGCGCTCCGCTGTCGCACCAGAACGCCACCAGAAGGAAGAAGATCACGCGGTGCGTTTTTCTCATACCTCTTCCTCTTCCTATATAATTAAGCGTGGCTGGCGAGAGTGCAAGCACCTGTATGTACTGAGCAATAACTTCCCACCGCGGTACACTGCGCTGCTGTCGTATGTCAATCGGTCGCACCTCCGCTCGAGCCGTGCGCCGCTGAGACCCTCTCTCGACCGGCACCGGGTGGTCACTGAGCGGGCGCGGGCGCGTCGCTCCTTTAAGCCGTCGGCGCGATGGCGCATCAAGGCTAAAATTACCGGCGCCTCTGACTGAGCCGGGCCCGGCCAGGCACGGCCCAGCGCCTGCGGCTGATGGATCGACGCAAGAGACACTTGTCCGCGCCTGATGACGCACTGGGAGCTGCCCGGCTGTCCTCCGATGCCAGGGAATCCCTCGCACGCCAATCTGGGCATCGGTTAATGTAGCCTGACAGGTTTAGGGTTTTTCGGTCCACGGGCCATCGGTCACGATGTTTGGTGATGGCGGAAATTGCAAGATGTTCGGGAAAAGAGTATTGCTAGACTGCTGTTCAGGTGGTCAGTCCTGCGGACAGAAGTCCTAGTTAATGTAGAGTGCGCTGCTTGTGCATGTCATCAACATTGCGAACTTAAACAAACCTTCCTGTTCTCGTTCATATCATGCTCGATGCATGCCATAAGGTGCACTCGATGGCCCACTGATAGAATGATGCAACCATGGGAAATGTTTGCTATGGTTCCGAATCCTAATCAGTTAATCCATAAACATGAGTGGGATAATACACCCAAGCGTCAACTGCCAGTTTATGGACGTGACTCGAGTTTGCTGTCACCTTGTGCATGGTTAACGGCACAGAATTGGAGGGTGGAGGGGGGATAGCTCTCTAGAGAAGCGGTAATGACATTGCATAGTGCTGGCGTGCATTGCTGTAGCACACTGCTAAAAGCGTGCACGGGTGTTTTCAGGGAATGTTTGTTTGCATCGCTATCACTGTATATAATTGTGGGCCACAAGATATGACATCAGTGACCTGCCACCGAAGCGGAAGTGGACAAAACAACACACTGATTAGCAGTAGATGAAAGAAAACATCCCCAGGGGGCGCTGAGCGTGACTTCGACATCGGACCTGACGATCACATAGGTCTCTTCACTTATCACAAAGATAACTCCGAAATAACAATGAAATGTCTAACATTTTTCCTCTTAGTCAATAAAACATACTTTTGGGACTTCGAATAGCAAGGGCTTGCTAATATATTGACCACCATGGTTTACGTAACTGTGCATAGAGTCGGTGACAATGGAAGGCGTGGGCCGGAACAAAAAAAAATCTAGCAGTCACTTATGACCATCGTTGAGAAGTGGGAGAACTACAGCTGTATTGTTTCAGCAGAAAACGCAGGCGTTTTGTTAAGCTGTTCATGTATGGCCATGGCCGTCGCTGAATAATTTGACTGAGATGGGCAAGCATTCTGGCCACATATATTCTTCGCAGGTAACAAGATCTTACAGCTCACCCTATCCATTCCATCAATCTCAGTCAAATGCACCCATTCGACCGCCTTTTCAATAGATCCCAAACCCAATTCTCTCCAACCGAGCACAAGAAGCAACGACAAAATAGCCCATTAAGTTAGTATATTCAGTCTAAGTAAATTAACGCACTGAACAAAAAAACAGCAGTAAGTATGAGATCGCTGAAAAGTGATAGCATTAGTGGAGAGTATGTATAAAAAAATGTGATGACATTCGGCGTGTTGGCAACTCCATATTCGTCAAATTCGAACACTATAGTTCGTGTACCAAGTTCATCATTACCTTAACGCTGGAATTCGAGTCTCCTGCTCCAAGCCGTCGGGGTCGTTCGGTTCACTGGTCTCGATCGATATCTGGATAAGGAAACACGAGTTAGGACTGGGCTGGATTGAAAAGCTGATTTATAAACGCTATGGAGCTCAACCAACGCAAACGCTATATATTCATATTCTTTTGTATATGTATATGCATATATTTAGTTATAGAATACACGCCGCTAGGTCATATCGCATGCATCATTCATGGTAAGTTCATGGTCATAAGCTCCCACAATTAAGCACAGCGAGCACAACACTTACCTGCACGTCGACAGGTAACCTGAAAAAAATTGCAAAATCTCGCGACGAAAGGCAATTCAGGCTCCGTATGAGAAAAACGAAGTCTACCTCATATGACCGCACAGGCAACAACTCCTCCACCCTAAAGCCTTCGTCTATCCCAAATAATTCATTTATATGTGACACTTGCTTCAGCCTTGACAACTTTCCTGCATTAGGGCAATGCAGCAATGCTCTCGATCTAAGACTTTTAGAATAACTTCATCTCTGCCAAAAGAAGTCACCCATGAACATCAACGGGTCTGCATATCCCAAGCAAGTTATGAGGTAGAACTTTTTGTGTTTTTCTTTTGCGGAGCCAGAACAAACTTTCGTTACGTGATTGTTCTTAGTCTGACCTGTTTGCCGCATATAAGTGTTGCACTTGTCATAAGCGCGGGAACAGGGATGGGTACGAAAGGCGCTTGGCAAAACCCAGACTTTCACACAAATTCGAATAGTAGCTTATAGCGAACCAGGTGGTAGGGCATCAGGGGAATATTAAGATGTTAGTTGTTATATCCGATAGCAGCAAAGGCAGTTGAATAGGGAGGCTTGATGCCGAATGAGCACAGAGTGTAAAGATGCTTTGTGTGTTGTGACACTGGGCATGAGTCAATGTTCTGCCACGTGTTTCGACTACGATAGATTAGCATTTTTAACATTCGCATCGTGTGAAGGATGTAACTCTTGTCGTGTATAAGCGACAAAGGGTATCACATCTACCGAAACTATCGAAATTAAATGCACCGCGCCGCAAGTGCGAAAAAAAACACCATAAGTATTGTGCTGTAAACATTCACTGGAACATGCTGTTGCTGCTGCTGCGCGTGAAAAACCGTCAAGACAGTCGTCCTCTTTGTGAGACATATCCGGCTCCTGTACCCGTATTTATTTAGTCGGGCTCGTACCTGACCAAAAACGCCAGGAGGCACGGTCAGTTTGGTTGTGATGTGGACATAATCTTATTCCTACTGCGCTGAGTGTTCTGGATGTCCCCCTATAGGTGATATATTTTGTCATTACCACGCGCTCGGATGTGGGGGTCTATTTGAACCTTCCGAAGATTTCTCAAAGTAATTTCGGAACGGTGCAGCGTAGCCCCGTCAAACCTTGCATAGCTGTAGTCAATTAAACAATCCACATTTCGTCCTTAAGGATTAGTTGCACCTTGCAAAGGTGCTGACCTGCAGCAGGTCAAAGTCAGGCTATGGCTGCCAGTAAAGGAAATTGCTGGGAAATGTTCAATCTGATGCGAGGATAGAGTTCTAACCGAAGCAATCATTTCTAAGACGATTTCTTTGACAAGTAGACAATACAGTTTAGAATTACGACTAATTTCCTTAACCTTGGTGAAAGTATAAGGGTTAGGTCGAAGTAAAAGGGAACATTTTTTTCTTAAAGACCTTGCCTTGATAGGTAGCTTTTATGGTCATTTCCAATTTCTTGATCACAGGCAGGTCAAACAAGTTCTTACACTACCGTGCTGAAAAGGGTCTAGGCCACAACAAATGTTCGATTTTTCGTTGTTGTTATGTGTGCGGTCTTATCACACTCAATATTTTGTGAAATAAACTGTTAAATAGTACTTTGAACAATGAGTGTTTCAGTCTCTTTCCATGATGGACAGGCGTTGATATGAGTCCCCCACGCTGGCGGGTGAGTGGACGCTTTTTTACCTCTGAAATTACCGATCACCAGGTGGGTCAATGCGTGGATTAGTTGTTTAGATGCTTGTGCTTTTAATGTTTATATTCAGATGTAGGCTGCCGAATACAGTCATCACTTTGACACACAAAACGTTTTCCGTATCGTTCCAGCAGAATAGTCTATTTGTATGGTATTAATTTATATGCCCATTCGGTAATCTACGTGTGCGCCAGCGGCAAGGTTACTTGAAAAATACATGACCCCATCCATTTAGGCTTTATTGGTTCATTTACTTACGTGTCGAGCTGCTGCTGTTTGACAAAAAAATAAAATGAAGATATTTTTATGAATCATTTATTCTTAAATAAACGTGGTATGGTGTGGGGATGAAATGGGCCCCGGTGTGTCCATCCCTGCATACGTCCCCGAAGCCATATTATTACTTTTATGATCAAGCGTTCACCTCGGCTGTTCATCGATGCCATGACAGCCCGAGCCCACGCAGTGACTTATGCGTGATGACATAAAGAACAAAGAAAATTTGGATATATATATATATATATATATATATATATATATATATATATATATATATATATATATATATAAATGACTTTTCTTCTAGTTTGCTGACTACTCGTGGACAGTTAGTGACCCGGTGGCCTGCCTTCGATGAACATTAAGACTGGAAACTGCAAGCAGCTGCAGTGGTGAAAGACAGCAACAACTAATGTAAATAAAATGACTTCAGGTCTTGCAAAATGTTTGGCATCATTATTCTCTTTGCTAGGCATTGTGATCGCAAGAAAGGACGGCATGGATCTGGACATGGATGTTACCGTACTTTAATAAGTTAGGACTTCCTCTATCATTGTGAATACCTAGCTGAATAAAATCGTAATAGTGACCAACAATATGTCAATAATACATATTGCAATGGAACAAATGACCTTGTTCACCAACTTTGAAAACAGAACGGCAGGGATTTAGCGATAAGAAATTCGGGGGCCGACTAGGTAAGTGTTTTTTCTGTTTTGCCGCCCCTCGTTCTGAAAATGTTCCCGCACTTCTGGTGCTTGTTGCACTCAGCTGTGCGAATTATGACCAATGTAAAAACTTACCATGAACGATATATGCAGCATGACCTAGCAATATTTCGATGTCCAGCAATATTATGATGATGCATATTTAGTCGATTGCGCCCTAACCCCCCCCCCCCCTAGTAATATTTCTTAAATGCATTCATGTATTCATGAGACGCATGATCCCAGATGCGTTGCACATAAGGGGATGAGTGCCTTACCTGAGCAAATGGCTTTCTTAAAAACACGTGTTAACGTGTGCAACGCTCGAACTGTGCGTTGAAAATGTTGGGCATGGGAGTGTGCTGCCCGTATATTTGGTCATTTTGCTATTCATGCATATTGTGTGTTCTATTCCTGTAGACTGCGCTTGCATTGCAAGCGTTTTGCAAAAAACATCCGACCTTGTTTTAAACGTGACTAGTGTATATCCAGTGTTACTTTCTCTCCATGGGCCAACTGTGAAAGACCACATTGTGCAGCCGCTGTGCGGGTAGATGGTGCTGTTCATCTGACAGGCACTCACATGTGAGTCTCGTCTGGAGCATGGAGAAAAAACAACACACGATATTAATTTTGCGGCCATAAACCCTCTCATGATAAAGTGTCTAATTGTCACCGTGGTTTTTCTGTGCGACTTCAACTTAAAAACACGTCCTAAGAAGTGGAAAATGATTTTGTTGAAAAGCTGGTACACGCATAACTTACCTGACCTAGTCTGTACCTCAAACAATGATTGTTATCAGTTTGTAAAAGACTAATGGAGCAAATGCTGAACAAGCGCACGTAAATTAAATGCGTCCTGTTGGTCATCTTGTTGCATGTATATTTATAAGTGCTCCAATATTAGTGTTTTGTTATTATGATTTACTGTAGCAACAGCTGCCATTCACAATATTAATGGATGGCCCATAGTGCACAGGTCGTGAAAAGTTACTTCATGGATCATTGCAAAAAATTGGCCGGACTATGGTTGCAGATTAGTCTCCATTAGCTAACGGTCATGATATCTTCTTGCCTGATATGTGTCTAGCTTATGGTAACTTTTCGGCTCCGTGGGCTCTGTCCACACAAACTTACTGTGTACAACGAAGTTGTGACATTGCGCGTCATCTTAATCGATAAATTGTTCTGACATTGTGACCTCAAATTCTTTGGCATTGAATGAACTGTCTCTAAAGATGACTCGATGTCTCTCTCGGCCACGCCGTGAGGTTCCGTTACGCACTGGCCAATGGTCATACGCTCAGACCAGGTGGAGCAACTGGAAACCATAACGGCTGACTGCATGTCATCACCCGTCTTAACATCCCTCGTCTGTTTTCGCAGGCGGTGCAAAATGAGCTGTAATGGAGAGGGCTCAGACTCTTTGGCCCAGTCAGCATGGAGTACAGTGGGCCAGTGATTTTCCACCCATAAAGCCCCCGCGTCTTTCCCTGTCCAGCTCGATGTACAGCTGATTGTGATCACGCTGCAATACCACCCGGGAGCCTGAAAATGTCGGTGACACCTTAGTAAGCCTACGTTTGGCCTGGTGGCTCGGTCTTGCACAAAAGTGACCTCAACATGCACAACATGACCTCAGCAAGCGCCACAAAAGTCCAGTAGCCAACTACGCATGGATGTCAAGCCAGGGTATAATTGCCTTGGAACAGAATGCAGACAGTTATCTGTGCTGAAGCTATTCAGACAACTACCCAGGCAACAATTTCAGCGTAAAGCAAGCGGCATTCCTCAATCGGTCAATGGGCATAATGGTGCCCAAGCCACAGATGGCCTGCCAGATGTATCTCGGCCTTTCTCCCGTGACTCAGCTTCGGCGTACCGGCTCGCCATGTTTACGAGACGCTCTTGGTATTTGCGGTGTTGACTCTGCAAGGAACAGCCACGTACTTGGCAGGGGCGTGAGGCGAATTGCGCGATATGCCGGGAAAACCCGTCAAAAGCGCAGCGGCGTCATTTGTGATATCGTTGTTTTTCTGACGCAGCATGTTGACCTACTCAATCCTGCCAGCCAAACGTGACGGTATGAGTCATCGTTTAAAAAACTGCCC